TCTTCCTCCTCCAAGGGCGACAGCCCTGAGATGAAGCAGCGCACGATGCACAAACAGGTGAGTTGGGGGCTGTACCAGCTCTGGGCGTTGAAGGGGCCGGGCAGGGGTCAGCCCGTGGACTTGGAGAAGGAATTGGCCAGTGGGGTTCGCTGCAGTGGGAGGGGATGTCACTGGGGCTCCGAGTTACCACATCAGTGCCATCCCCATGATGGCATTGCGTGTGGGGATGTGTTGTGGCTCTGGCACCCAGCTTGGCCTGAGATGGAGGCCCTCCGGGGACGGGGACGCAGATCAGTGTTTGTTCTCGTGTTCCTCCGTTGCGTGGCACATTGGCGTGTGACTGCCGCAAGGCGGTGGGTGGCAGAGACACGAGGGCGATGGCAGCCATGCCTCTGTCCTGCGCTACCATCTTGTCACTGCTTTGCCTCTCCATGCCTAGGCTCTCATCCCATGCCATAGTCAACCCCGCGCCATCTCCCAGGCTCGGACCAGGCCCTAATCTTCTCTTGTAACTAAGTCTCCCTGCTGCTGCTCCTGTCCCGGCAGAGCCACAGCACTCCTGGACACTCCTGTTTGTCTCTGTGAGACCCTCCTGTAAGTGCGTCTGGGGAGGCGAGAGCGGTAAGGAAGGCGTCTGCTCCCCGCCCAGAGTGACGTTCCCGCTGTGCAGAGCTCTGCGGTGATGCAGGTCCCAGACCGCGTCCTGGTCTGCACAGAAATGAATTTCACTATTTGTGGTGCTGAAATTGAAAGCAGTAGGTCACAGACCCAGGGCCCTCTGGTTTTCTTGGCATGGATAAATTGTTTTTCTAGTGCTCATTTATTCGTTCTACATTTCAGAACTAACCCTATAGAAAATTAACATAGTAGGGCCTCTCAGTGCCTAAAGGAAGAGTTTTAAAAGTAACACAGACCCAGAGAATGTGGACAGCTGGCAAGAACTCACTGCATCTCAGCCCAGACACAGTATTAAGGCACCTTGTCAGCAGTACGGTGTTGAAAGGGCAACAGAGTTGGTGTAAGTACCTCTCCTTTAGAAGGCAGCTGTGGAGGCCTTTGTCAGTGCTGCCCATTGAAGGCTGTTTTATCGGCCCCATCTGGAGCTGTACTCTGCATACGGCATCGATTCATAGGCGCAAGCCTGCCATGTAGCAGCGTTTGTATAACGTGGATCAATACTTATTAGGTACAGAGGGCACAGAGCTCTGCAAGCAGCAGCAGCCGGTTTGGTAGCAGAGTTTCTTCCAGAAAGTCAACAGTGAACTCCGGGTGACCTACGGAAAGCCCTCGCCAAGTTGTGTTTGCAGATCTTCCTCCACCCACCCCTATTGTCCTCTCAAAGTTTCTCTCAAGACCTGAAGTCCTCAGAATGCCTCTGCTACTCTTAATCTGCGCATTTTACTTGTACGTTAGCAGCATCTGTAAACCATCGTGAAACTGCTTGCTCACCGTTGGTGGTATTAAATGCTGTTTGAGAACAAAGAAATCCCATTTGGTGGCCATTTTAGTAGAAGTCCATGAACCTTGTTCCTGCCAGCCAGAAGCACTTCCTCTGCTTCTGTAAGT